CATGCAGACATCTTATACGTTAAGGTATTTCACATCCAATCTTTTATGGTAATATTCTATACAAAGCACAAAAATGTCGACATTCACCTCAAAAGCTAACCAAACCTTTAAACAGACTTATTCAGAAGGGATATAGTTACGTTACTGTTGTCAGGTAATTAAAGATGGCATATTTTGATATTAATATTGATTCACTCATAGGGTCTTTGCATCGGAAATAAACACATTTATTCTAAAACCTGAGTTTTACTGTGCGTATTGCTGTGTGTTTGTTTATTATACATTGGCTAGAGGTATAGGGGAGGGTTGAGATCTCACAAAACATGTTTAACCCCGCCGCATTTTTGCGCCTGTCCCAAGTCAGGAGCCTCTGACCTTTGTTTTTTTAATTTTAGTTCATTTATATGTTTTGGAGTTTAGTGTGACGTCCATTTCCAATGACCTAGTACACATTTTTGTTTAGGGGCCAGCTGATGCCCGACTCCGGGTGCGGGATTTTCTCGCTGTGTTGAAAAACCATTGGTAGCGTTCGGCTGTTTTCTGCTCTTTGGTCGGGTTGTTTTCTCTTTGACACATTCCCCATTTCCATTCTCAATTTTATTTGATAATTTCACCTTTCGCGAAAATGGATGAACGATCTGGTGCTATAATTGGTTGTACCGAGTGTAAAACGTTCGATTTGTTTTGCTAAAATGTCTTTTTGGGTTAAGGTAAGGGTTAGGGTAAAAAAAAACGATAAAAATAAAATAAAAAAAAACAAACCCAGATTTACCTGAATTTACAGACTATATTTAAGGTGTGAGAATGGCACCGCGCTGAAAACCTTCAGAGTTCGATACAATTTTGCAATGATTACCTTCAATCTGTTTATATGAATTTTTAGAACTCAAAGTTCGATGTTCCGCCCGTAAATTGGTCTATTTTGTTTTTAATCGTCAATCATGTTTCGTTGGTCTGAATATTTATGGTTTCTAAATCCCACGAACAATTCCACATGAATGGGTGCGATCTTCTAGTTTGTATTGATAATCAAAGTTTGCCATCGGTAAATCTTTTCTATTCTAATGAAAAGCTATTGGACAAAACTATATTATAAAAATGAACCGTTGTTATAATATATAATTATATCTCAGATATATGTTTTAAACTTTCACCTCTTTTACGCCACAAAATATTATAAAAAAAACCAAACTGACAAACATCAACAACTTGCAGATACCATTTTCGTCAAGTCAGAGAACATATCGGGTAAAGACGCCCTGGCTGTTACAATCATTAAAATCATGGAAGTATTATATATATTATACTATACTTCCATGTTAAAATCAAAGGTTACCAAATCGAAACTATACCGAATACGTGATAAAAAAATAGTTATATAAATGTATTAGAAATTTTAATTAAAGGTGTTAAGTAAACAATCAATGGAACAACAGCCTAATAACACATTGGACAAAGGTCAACAATATGGTCTAAAGACAAAATCGTTTGTCAAACTGTAAATCTCCCTAAATTGTAAAGTATTGTTCAACAGCTGACCAACATCAATATATCAAGAACTTATACATTAAAATGTAGCAACAGAAGTTTACAACATTCCGGACACGTGCCAGGCACATCAAAATGTTGTATAGTCACTTTAAATTATGTCAACTTACTCATTGATTGTGAACAGATTTTTAACCAAAAAAAAAAAGAAAAAAAAAAAGGTAAATGAAGTATTAAAGAAAGAATTTATACAGACACTCATTTATACTTCAGAAATGCTTAATTGGTTAGTCAAAAACACAATATTCTTGAACAAGACGAAAGTCATAAAACCATTTACGATGAAAAGCCTCTTTTAACTGAATGGTAACAAACTTTGTGTACCTTACCATTACAGAATGAGAGTAAAGTTACGACTGAATAATTATTAAAGGATTATTAAGAATGCCAGTTGACTCCTATGGACCACAAAAATGTGAAGAAAAAAATAAACACTTATTATTTGTAATGAAAAACATCTTTTAATGTTTAAATTGACGTCAAACACAGTTTCATACATGATAAATTGTCACGATCGTCACATGGAATCTTGACATAGCTGTCACAGTACTTAACATGTGAAAGTTTATTTTTATGAAATCAAATTAAAATTCCCAATGAACAAACCACATTTGTTCTGGAAAATGATACATGTGAACATTTTTTAATTGATAAAGTATATTTCAGTATGGCTATCATTTAGGACATACTTGTTGATCTTCATTACAGTAGCGATATTCTAAGATTGATTAACATTTTACATAAACTAAATCATGCGAAATCTGCAACAAATAGTTGCATAGAACGGACAGTCACACTTTGAATAAGTAAAGCATATAAGAAATTCCGGAAAAATGAAAATAAAACATAGATCTAAGTATACGCAGCTTATTTACTTTAGAAGACGCTATAGTTCGATAGACATACATAAGTGCAAGTATATTTTTTATATTCTTATCCACTTTGCAATGATAATGACAAGAAAAGACCAGGCTGAACAGTGGGTATCAATAATTTCTTTCTTCCATTTATTTGAGTGACTACCGAAAGTACCTAATAGATAAAGGAAACGTTGAATCTAAAGACGTATCCTTCAGAACTCATGAAAAGGGTCAATGCAATATTTGCGCAGAATTGTATCGTCCTCCCAACAGGCGTTTTAAGATTTGAAGAAACAGAATGAAAATTAATTGGTATTTTGATTTCATTGTGATACTGCGACTTAAGTTTATACATAAAACAATGTAATTATATGTGTTTTTCTTCTTATCCTATAATGAAGGTAAAGGATCAACAAATACAAATGCGTTTAACATAATAAATACGAATAGGAACATTGATTCTGATACCTGTAACCGCAAACATGAATATATACAGGACTAATAATTTTCTAATTATCTTACAACGCAGTTGAAGTCTTTTTTTTATCATGACTTATAAATCAAGATGCTGAATTTGTAAACAACAGATTAATTTCCCTGAAGCAGAAAAGACATCTGTGACATAATTGTAGGTAATAGTAAGTACAAAAATTATAATAAAACATATTAAATGAGCACAGTAGTAAAACACAGGTTTTTTTTTTATTAGAACTCAGTAACAGGTAAAATAATTCTAATTAAACGTATCATATAAGCCCGAGTGGAGAATTGCATATTATAGAAGATAATATTAGTATGTTTTATTGTTTACACGTAAGCATGCCTTAATGATGAATTAAAAAAGAAAAAAATGTAAGGTATGCGTAAAAAAGAAATAAAGACGACAATATACATGTACGGATTTCAACAGTTGACAAGTGTATTCATTATATCGCTCTGAGTGTTGTATAATGTTACAGAGATTATCAAATATATGCTATTAACACTCAATTCCTTACAAAATAGATAATCCGAATACTATAGTATACTCACAGGGTTTGTAACTTGCGACAGGCACATTAACATGTGGTAGGATTAAATTAGTCCGATGAGTATTCAACTCTCGCGCTAAATGAAATTACAATGCACAGTGAATATATGTTTTATCAAATCAGGTCAAAGAAAAAACTTTACTTTAGAATATTGGTATTATAGAAACAAAACCACAAACAAATAAACAATATTGAACAGTACCGGATCAAAGAATGATGGGACCTTATCTGCGGATATACATAACAGTACTGAACCTGATAATGTACATAAAAAAAAGCGAACTAATGTTAATCGGCTATTGATAATGATGCAATGCTTTTATAATCTTTATCAATATCAACTAGGCTATAATGAAATATTTGAAGACTATTTTTATGCTTAAATGCTTAATGATAAACCCATCATACATAATAAATGCAAATACATGTTAAATAGTTAATATAAGAATAAGGAGATGGGGTTTTATTGTCAATGAGATAACTATCGCAAAAATTCCCAAAAGGACAGAGATGGTAACAATAATAGGTAACCGTGCAACCTCTAACAATGAGCAAAACACACATCATATAGGTATTCATAAAAAGCCCCGGTATAACAAAATGGAAAATAATTCAAAATAGAAAAACAAACGACCTTATTTATGCTAAAACAAAATCTGAAAAACTATTATGACAGCCACTATAAAATCAACCTCTCCCTAACATGTAATAGTACAAAATGAAAACAACACGTTATAAATTTCCCATCATGTTTGTTGGATAAACAGTCAAATGACAGAAATATTAGAACGCGAACTGGAGGCATTTGAAACGATATTTGAAGTGTTTTTAAGGTAAGGTAGCCAATACACAAAAGAGACCTTCAAATGTTCAAACGAGGCCTTAAGCAGAGATGTGGCAATGCAATGATTGTCTACTACATAACTCTTCATGGAGCACACGGCCTTCAATATAGAAAAAATATATAATTTTATTCTAAGGAGTTTTCCGTGTAATATTTATTTCATACCAGTACCTCACTATACATTGGCTGCTTTTTCAGACGGGACAAAATACAAAACGCTTTACGAGTAGTTGAAGTTTATTTATAATCCGAAACTCTGCTAAAATGTATATTAAATCATACCTAAAGAGGCGATACATCTTTAAACGATGATGTTAAATAATGCAAATTTGGTGTCACTATAATTTTTTTATACGATCAATAAAATTTTTCAAAACTCCTCCCCACGTTAAAGTATGTTGATTGCTCAACATGTAATGTAAAGTTATGCGTTGAAACGAAATAACACATGCCGTTAACGATACGTTAACATACAAATGTGAAATTGTAAAATGGTCAGAAAACAGAAATTGCTAATAAGATATTTACTTCCTATCCTTATATCGTAAAGTACATCAAACGAATGTTTTATGACAATTTTATGATTACTTGCTGATCTTTTGATGACTGATTTACGCAATAATCACAGTTCAGCAGGTTCTATTTAAGTAAATGAAGCTATGATTATAACGTGAACCATGACCTGTTGTTGTCATCGTATATGCAAATGAGGAAATATTTTCTTCGCCTGTACATATAAAAAGGAAAGCAAAGCACAGAAAAACAATTTGCGTCTTAATTTGTCAAGATTATAGAATCTTCCTTCAGGTAGGATCTTGCTTATTAGGATAAAATAGTCTGCATATTTTGAAACATGTTTATTTTCTAACTTATTTTTGTTACTTATATTTTCAAATTATTTTAGTGGAAATGTCTTTAATAATGATTTTATTTATCAATGAAATATGATGGGTTATTTCACTTTACATTTTAGATAACCAAGAATTTACAATGAAGAATTTTTTTCTTCTTCTGCTATTATGTGCACTACTTCTGGCAATCTGCGAGGCACAAAATATTGGTAAGTGTAACATAAAATAATTCGAAAGGATTTGTTTTAATTCATATACTATTAATGTTAATAAAAGGAGATCTTTCATTTAACAATTATACAATGACGTAATGTAATTCTATATATTGTACGCGATTCATTTGACCTTAAACGCGTCCCGCTTAGGAATACACATGGCAAATACTAGTAAACAATTATTTTTTTGTTTAAAAAGTCAGTTTGCTTTTCATGCTTTGGTTTTCCACAATGTAAGCGTTGACTGTGACATTAAGTTTAGACAAATGCTTAAAACAATAAAGCTGGTCTCTCTTTCTTATTAATGAAACATGATTAATTACAGCAGCCTAATGATTTTTCATTTCCCTTTACAGCACTACCTACTTTTAGCGTTTTATAACTTGAAATCTTTGCTACCTATTCATTTAGTTTTCGTTTAAACTCCTTCAGTTTACATTATTTTTTTCTATCCAATTTGCTTTGAAAAAAATGAAAACAACACTTTAAATTTATTAATTTTCCTGTGTCCGGAGCGCTTTTCGTTATTTACCTTCATCAGGAACGTTTTATTTTGAATGATCCTTTTATTTTGATAATAAACAAGCTGCCGTTATCATATCTATATCAGCACTATATATAGCAACACACGCCATGTACAATAACACACGCTTACATTCAGAAATGTACTTTCACGCAATAATCTTATGTGTTGACTTAATGTTAAAATTGAGTGCAATAAAACCTTATTTACAATTACATGATATTTTATATATTGTTTTTATAAATGACATGATAATGTAAAATTCATGTAAAACATGGCAATTGGCCTTGAGTTTACGGCCAATATATTCTTGGTAATAGATTATTAAAGGTATACAAGGTATATCAGTACATTATGTAAATATTGCGTGTAACATTGACTAATATTCCGCATAACTGAAATTGAAAATATCATTTAAAAAAAAGAATGTTTATGGATTATTGTATAAAGTTTAACGACTGTTAAGTAATGACAACAAAAAAATTTTCATCAACGTAAAGATTAAATAGATACACAAGTGTTATATCTCTTTACTGTCTGAGTTTGCTGAGAGCACAATTTCTTTATAATCATACTCATCTATCTAATATGCAGTGAAACATATGCTTTTATTTCTACTTTTATAACTATTCACTAATCGCGATTATTTTTGACTTTTGAAACGGATAACTAAGAAAAATTAGGATTGCAGGACTTTTGAAGCATAAACTACATAAAATTTCTACTTTGCCTACAAGATTTTTCTGGATTCCAATACACTGTTTAGTAAACATCTGTACCATGATACATGCTGTCGCGAATGTAAAATAAAATGTTCCTATGTTAGTTAGTTTACTATACGGTGTATATATTTCTCTGATCTTGTGCTTTATTTTTGACAGGAACGTTATGGTTTTTGAGTAGAATGTTTAACAGACAAAATAATCGACCGATGAACTTAATGGATATGATGCTAATGAACCAGTATGACATCATTTAACTTCAGAAAATGAATCGACAAACGATACTCGACGCAAAGGAATGCGACAAGGATACCCACTTGTTGTTATATTATTGGAATCCATTCATAATCAACCAGACTATACATTTTATTTATATAACATTGTAATTATCATCTAACTTTGTATTTATATATTTTATATTAATTTCAAAAAAAGTGTTTTTTGTTTGAATTGTTTATCGTTAATCTCTATTTTCAATGTAGCCAGACTAGCTATTTTTTATAGTGCAACTTTGTCAACATTTTGAGAGTATACACATTTATTTCATACCATAAAATCATTATTTTGCTTGCTTCTTTACAATGCAAGTTATAATAATGTGTACATAACTAGTTTGTTTCCATCATCTCAAATATATCATTTCCCACAAAACGAACTTGACGTACCTGACTTCGTTCTGTTCGTTTTTGAGGAACACAAGTCGTCTGCTATCTGATCCGATCATTCTTCTCTTCAGGTGGTGCCAAACTCCGGTTCTTTATATCTCAGGCTGTATTTTGTTATGCATTTGTCAAGGTTTATTTCAATTCTTGTCCCATCCACTGCCTAGATCTTTTTTTAATTTGTTTATTTGATTGGTATTGTTTTATCCGGATATAGCAGTTCATGTTGCCAATAGTTCTAACCCACCATACGCCACAAATGTATCAAGGCTTTTATTGATGAATACCTGGATTTTGTTTTTAAGCCCTATGGTGAGTCTCCATGTTTCGGCATCATAAAGAAAGGTTGGATTTCACGTTGAAATAACAATTATGATTTTTTGTTTTCTCAGAATTACCACACAATAAACAAGATTGCTACGTCGTACCAAAATGATCCCCGCCACTGTGTATACTGTAGAGTTGTACAACAGGCACACAGATTACATTATAAAGTCAATCTTATTTATCAAGGCGCCAGTCGTTTGCCGATGTTCCAATCTCGTAAATCGATTAAGATGAGATAAATTACTGTAACAAACAAAAACGGAGGGATTCAATCTGACCTCCAAAAATTTGTTCAGTCGTTTTTCCTCATAAATCTGTTGGATCAGTTTTCGTGTATGGATCACACCCCTGTTAACGAAATTCGTATAGTGTGAACTTGACGAGCGTAATGAATTGACTGATATATGTAAACGCCGTACGACGGAGCAGATGGTATGTTACTGCTGCGAAATGGGAATTTGACAATTGGAAAGGTAAATTAAACACGTTTGTAATAGAATATAGTTCGATGTCGTCCGTATTTGTCAACATCGTTGCAAAAGATCAAGATATGAAGCAGACCTTCTTATTTCGGTAGTTTCTTTAATATCAAGTTTACTTGGCTATACAAAATATAAGCACTCATTGAAATGTTGGTTATTAAGTGAAGGACATCATCAATATATCTGAAAATGAAATCAAATGAAATATGGGTTATTGAGTGACAGGACATCATCAATTTATCTGAAAGTGAAATTAAAGAACTTTGTACGATGCTTTTTCCTTGTGTCTATGAAAAGATTCTGTGAATTCTGCTTCATATGAGTACACACAAAAGCCAGTAGTGGTACACAATTAGTTCCCATTGGAATACCGACTGTCTGCTGAAATATTAATCCACCAAACTCAACATGTTGTGGATTACATAGTCTAGCCCTTTGATGATGTCTTCTTTGGTGAATTTGTTTTCGAAAAAAAACATTGTCTTCAGATTGTGTTTCTTGATCATAATGAAGCGTCTTTCCAAGTTTGACAAAGTTATTGAAGTATTTAAAACACTTCTACACCAGACTGTATCTAAAGAAAGAGTGCACAAACCCCACCAATAGACTTGGATGATCCCAGGTACTGATACGGACGGTAAACAGGTCCTGCTCTACATGTTGCACCCGTCGTGTTGCTCATGTAAGTACAAATAAGGTGAAAAGTCTTATTCATAAGCAAGTCAAATGAAGATGACAAATAATTCTACAAAGTATGGACTATTGTCTAACGGTGTCTAGATGTTGCTGTTTTCTAGAAGAACCCACGAATAGACAGACGGGCAAATATTGTACCTATTTACCCCGTGGCGCTTATAAGGGTTGGGGGACAAAAAACCAAAGTATAAGAAATTTGTACAATAGTCGTAGAATACAGAAATGACTCCTTTCATTTTTGATATGCAATAAGAAAATGCAACTTAAAATGAAATTTCCCCCAGTGACTATTCTTTTTATTTGTTATCTGATGGAAATATAAAATATATGAACAAAAGAGATGTGAAGTAAGCGTCAATTAGACAGTAACCCAATGATAAAAATAAAAATAAAAACATTTTGACAAACAGTGTTCAACAATAACCATATGTATATGTGTACTTCAACTATTATATCTTTATCTGACGATTCATACAAAATAAAGGTTTCACACGAGAATACCAAAATATATACCCGAACACTTTTCATTGGTAGCATAATAATCTGTTAAACGCCCGATTAAAGATGAAACAACGTAAGCGAGAAAACCAACGTTCTCGTTTCTGCAACAACAAAAAAAAAAAAATAGATAAATAAAAAATCAACGAAAAACATAAAAAGCAAAAAACAAAAATATAAAAACAAATAAGGCGAGCAGCAACACGGACATAACTGAATTACAGTATTCTTTCTTAGGGCGGGCACATTAAGGTATTAATGTTTCTCGTTTCTCGTTTTTAAATAGATTAGACCGTTGACTTTCCTGTTTGAATGGTTTTATACTAGTCATTTTCGGGACCCTTTATAGCTTGCTGTTCGGTGTGTTGAAAGCCGTACTTTGACCTATAATGGTTTACTTTTACAAATTGTAACTTGGATGGAGAGTTGTCTCATTGGCACTCATACCACATCTTCTTATATCCATTAAACATGTTTATGAGCAGTCGCACCTCTAATAACCTTGGACAGTGGCGCAACACCAACACATAAAAACAAACTATAAAATCATATATTTAAGGCTTGACACATCAGATCGACACTAAGCGCACCAAATACAAAAAAGAAACAAATCACAATGTACTCAACTAAGAGTACACGCAGTTAATGTAGGCTAGTTAAAAGCCAATTTGAAATAACAAACAGACTCATAATTTCAACGACTTAAATTTCAAGCAGTACATATAGAAAAGATGTAATGTTGAGGCGTAATAAACAGACCGAGAAAAGCATGACCATGTGCAATGCCAAACTATAACTATCGACAGGATGTAAAACCAAATGTGCATAACTGCAAAGGTGAACGTATTTAAAAAGACTCATCAAGGATACCTGGCTGATGGATTGGTACGCATGACGCGCGTTTCGACGACATGAGACTCATTAGTGACACTCGAATCAAAACAGTTGAAGAGCATTAAAAACCGGATATTCCCAAAAAATCGTGCCATAAAAGGCTTAGAGAATCTATACATCGGGTAGACAAATCCTAGTGTTTCGATTAATTCAACATTTTACAATCACTAGACGCACGGGAAAATGAACATATCAATGATATTTCATGCCAAGACAAAAGGGCTAACTACTGGAATGGTGAAACCCTCGGGAATGAAACGTCCACCAGTAATGGCATTGACCAACTGGTTGTAAAAGCTCATAAATGATGCCAGGCTTATAGTTAGTACACCAAACGCGCGTTTCGTGTACATAAGACTCATCAGTGACGCTCAAATCAAACAAATTCGAAGACCAAATAAAATAAGACGTTGAAGAGCATTAAAAAACGATGATTTTTCAAAATTGTGCCAAATAAGGCAAAGGCAATTTATACCAGTTACATATGTTCACACTAAGTGGATTTAAATAACAGGGGTATGAGGGAGATTGACTGAAAGCGATACTTCATTAGTTTTACAGTGACCATAACAAATTGGTTAACCTATACGATGTGTCTATTTACCAACTCCCTATTGACATATTTTGCGGTCTTAGATCTTTACATAACAGTATAGTCGCCGATCTTTTATTTTACCGATTTTGTCTTCATCACTGTGGTGAAATTCGCTTGGCGGGTGATGTATGAATAGCATGCGACGCTTACCCTGTCAACACACCCGAATTCGGTTCTTTTGGCGTGCAATTCCCAAAGTGTTCTTTTTTTACCTTGATTTGTCTGTTCCTAATCGATTTACGACATTTTAACATCGGTAAACTACTGTCGCCTTTCTTTAGTGTATTTAGTGTTTTGGAAAATGCCTTTTAATATATTCATGTTGTTTGAACCAATTTGGTTAATAATTGATGACTACCATTGATCATAAATAAGGAAAAAAGATCAAAGGGTAAAATTAGTTCAATGTTGATTTCGTTTATTATGACTGATACTTTTTCATGAATCCTATGATTGCGTTGTCTTTTATCAAGATATTCATGAGGTCATAGAAATGTTACCGTGTCCCGCAATATTGTACTTTGTACCGAGGGGATATTCTGTCCGTTATTGTAAAACCTTGGACAGGTCGAAACTTGTACATGAATATTCAAAGTGTTTGTGTGATTGTTCTGGTTGTTTCTAGACGGTTGTAAGTGGCTAAAAATTGTAGTCGTGGTTATGTCTTGACTAAATGCTTGTAAATGAAACTTTTGAATTATTTAGGTCTGCAGAAACGGTATAAATATTTTTGTGTTCGTTTGAAAAATTCACGTCATGTTTGTTCTACATATTGTATACCACAATTAGGTTTAGTTCATGTGACAAGATATATAAAGGCTTAAAGTTTTTTTTCAAGTAATGTCATGGGAAAAAGAGATTTAAACAGCTATCCAATTCACTGGGTGCCGAATAGTATTATTGGAAAATAATCTGGAACAGGTTAAATTTGTTCTGGCATTGCACGGAATAATGTTGGGATATCTACTTGCATTTCTATGGTGTGGCCGGATACGTTAATACTTTAAGCCATTTTCTATTTAACTCCATTTTTGTAAGAATGTACAGCAACAGAATACATTCTAGAGTAAGAAAGATAACTTATATAACACAAAAAAAAATCTATAACGCTTCTGAAGACCTAAGAAACTGATTGTTTGGTTTACTATCATATAAAAAACATAAACATAATAATAAAACTGAAGACACTCGAAACTGTTCAAATCACCCAGAACAATCATATAAACTATTTCAAGTTTCCCGTATAATTTGTGAGCTGTTTTTAATTACACGACTACAGACCGCACATTCTCTTGG